CAAAATTACATAAAATTGGGATTCAGACCAAACAGTAATGTATTACTGTAACCAACAAGACAAATTAAGTCATATCTCTGGATAAGCTTATGATATCAGAATGATCCAGGTATCAAAATGTAGCTTTTAAAAGCCACAAATCTGAAAATGTAATTAGGTCATTTTGACCAAATTTGACTTAATCCTCATTTCGATGATTGGTCACATGTCACTATAATCTGTCCATATTTTCTATACAACTTTGACATCAAGGACTGTAAAACATTAAAAATAAAAAATATATAGTGAAAAGTTAGCAAGCCAGTGACAGGAAGTCTCACCCAAAAAAGCAACAACTGACTGTCCGTATCTCYGTGAAAAATAAGGTGGATAAAAGACCAGGGAGTTCCTTTTCTTGAACAGTATCCCTTTGATGTCACTTCCCGTTTCACAATGACTGAGCCAAGTCCAAAAGAAAATATGACGGTTATGGGACAAAATGGGTAAAATCGTGTTAAGTTTTTTTTAAATATAAAGATGCTTTCTTTGACTTTTTGTTTTTGAATGATATGCATGTCTAAGGCACTTTGTTTACATGAAAAGCAGCCGTCAGGTCAGAACCTCAACACGGGTCACAATACACCAAGTTTYGGTATAATCTCCAGATAAAAGCTTTAAAATAACAAAAACAACATAATATTAAACCTATTTACATCATCATCATGCCCATGTCTAATGAGTAGTTTTGTATTTACATACATGACGTCCAAATATTCATTTTAAGGGTTGAGAATTAAAATGTTTGGGACCAGAGTCCTGAAGAATTGAGGGGTCAGGGTTGGTACAACCAAATGGGCACTAAAAACATTGTGGTAATGGTCTCTAGTTGATGAACGAAGCTAGMAAGTTTCAGGCCTGTTGCTTCAATTATAAGGTTTAAAACACTCTGTGCTGCAAAAAATGCCCTTAAATCAGTCCGAGTCGTCATTATTGTCACTGTGGGCAGAGGTACGGTTATCAGAACTTACAAACAAAATCAAGACACGCCAMGAAACAACTTGCTGTTCGCAGAATTTGTGTTCTCATAATTTTGAGTCAGCAGCTGGTTTCAAGTTGGAACAGCTTATTTTAAATCAAGGTGATGTTAAAACCTGTTCCTGCTTTAAGTTGGGATCTGGTGATTCAAAATGACTAAATTACAGCAGACAAARAAAAGACCAGCTTCTAAAATTTGTTAAAATGGTGAATTAGTGGTCACATTTACTGGACAAAAATCTGCATTTTTAATAACTAACTCCCATTTAAAAGGCAAGTTTCTGCCATTTGCTTTATGTGAGTTTATAAAATAAAAATGCTACAAACTAAATTCAGGCTTGTGTCTTGGGTGTCTAGAGATGACATCTAGAAACCAATTAAGAATTTACCTGAACTGCTAACGCCATATTCAGCTGTAACTGTTACAAGAGAATAAAACAATAAGATATAAAACGGGACCTCTTAAGTGCTCTCCACAAAAAGACACTGGTCTTTATTCAAACCTTCGCATCCCTCGGATGAAGGACACAATGTTAAAAAGTGTTCTGAGCTTCTCAGGACAGGTCTGTTACTTTGTTAGATAAAGCTTCTTTTATTTGTCAGAAGCTGAAGGAACGATTGAATTAAACAGACAAATTCAGGTGATATATTACAATAACTGCTCAAATTCCACCTACTTGACAGATTTCTCCACCTAAAACCAACCAAATATGACTGATGATTAATATTTGTCTTTTGCCGATGCCGATAACACACCAGAGCAAAGAAGTTTTATGCCTTTTTACAACAACTGACATCAAAAGTATATCTGGTGACACAGCACATTATTAATCTTTTTAAATTTTCCTTTTAAAACAACCAATAATATAATTTTCTTAAGAGATAGTTATGGACATCTTTAGGGTTTAAAATCAGATCCAAACTGAAGTTTTTCTTATTYAACCACAAACTTCTAAACTGTAATTTATAAAAATATATATATTGTTTTACTTGTTGATTTGTTTGTTGGAAGGTTGTTTACTGCCTTGTTGTGGTCATGACTAAACTAGTCAAGGAGAGAAAGGAGAAAACGTCCTTCCATGTACAAAAGAACATTTGTTTTGGTAAATTTTTAAAAAGGTAACCTTTTCCTACAAACTTAACATTTACAGGAATACTAAAATTTAATTTAATTTCTCCTAGCCTCAACAAAAATATTTATAAACACCCAGATTCTTCAGAGATGACCCGCTGYGGGACAACTGTATTCTTTCTGTGGTTTGGCATAAATAAAGTACAAACTTCCTGTTAGGACACGATGAATTTTAGGTCAAGGGTTCGCTGTCGACACAGAACAGGATAATAAAGAAATCTGTGTTCAGAGTCACTGTTAATAATCTACCCGGCCCTGCACGGCCCAGTAAGTCCATTAAGGCTGCAGAACCACCTGAAAGCTGACGGAAGAGACTGTGATGGATCCGCAGCGCTGCTGACGCCACAACAGGAAGCAGGTTGAAAACTAAAATTCACACCTGCTGGGATAAAACAACCCAAACACACTGAATGCTCTGGGTTTCGGTTCAAAGTGAAAACAGTGCTGGGTTCTGTGGACTCAGGAGGAAGAGCTGCATGACGACAGCTCTTTTTTTTAAAGACTCCACCCACTCGCTCTCTGGGTGATTGCATCTCTACCCCTCCCTGGAGTTTGACCCAACCACGACCGGGCAGGAGGTTCTGATTGCCATTAGCACCTGCTACGCCTACAGGAGACTTCTGGAAGTGTAGGGACTTTCTCTGGGACCAGTACCATGGAAGACATGAGTAATGAGGGTTATTTAAYTCTCATGTGAGCTTATTAAATCACCAGACTTTTAATTTAAAAACATTTAAATAAATCCCACTTCCAGAATCACTGAAACAAAATGTAAATCAAACATTTGAGCATTTAAAGTCTAGTTAAAACCACAAATTAAAAAATTAGCAAAATCAATTAAAGAAAACAAAATTCAAACCTATGGTTTCTGTCTCAACATGAAAATTTGTGCCTACAGAAACAGCTAAAGTGACCAAACATAAAATCTTAACTTTACCGCCCAGCAGAAGCTGTGCCTGACTGAAGGCTGAGCTCCACCTTCCTGCCCGATCCCAGACTTTTATTTTTGAGTCGTCTTACAGGTTCTCTTGTTTAATTCCTACATTTCTATCTACGATTCTAYGTTTTATGKTCAMCTTCAGTCAACAAAAGGSACTAWGGTATGACTCAGGCTTGTTGTTTACATTGAGTGTGGACCCGCATTTCAGTACCGCATTCATGGAAAACTACTGGAGCAAAAACTTTGAAACAACACCGCCTGTTATTRTTCATAAAAGTCTATTTTATGTTAGATTGTACACAAAGTACACTTGAAGGTCCTATAACTGTTCCAGTGTTTCCTAAAGTTGGGGCCCCGAAACATCAAGGTGGGGTCCTGAAAAGATTTTCTGAATTAATGACATTTTTGCCTTAGCTGTTACAAAGGAGTGAGGTTAGTATATTTAAAATTGATAAATGTAGTATAAAAAATATTGTTACTATGTCCATGTTTTGTTGACCTGATACAAATGTTTATCATCCAAAAACAGTTGGTGGCGCAAGTC